ATTTGATGCTGGTAATACATTATGATTAATTTGTTTCACATTAGTACATTTAATATGTATACGTTAAAACTATTATAAGTACTGTAAAACTTATCACTGACAATGATTGAACGAGTATAATTATTAAAACTTGTATATTAAGTAACTTAAATCTCAATTACTACCCTAAACTATATTCAATCCTAATTTGGATTTGTTCATAAAGTGTTGCCATTGGATGGCTGTTTTTTTCACGAGTGACCAAGTTATAATGAATACCTGCAGAAATGCTTATTATATAATATTTTATTACAGATTATTTGTTAGATTATTAAAATTTAAAAAATATATAATATATAAATAAAAATATGGTTACATTATGGATCAAATATTTTATTTGAACAATAGAAATAATTTATGTCAAGTATAAATAAAGTTATAAAATTTCAAAAATATAATCGAATAGATAACTTATAAATTTTTTTTTTTATCAAATATATCGAACATAATATATAGTAATATTAGGTATTAAATATTAAATTAGATACGTATCTATTAAAGTTTGTTCATTGCCATTTTATACAATAACAAAATTAAATCCTTCAAATGGTGTAGAATACGAATGAGCACGATTTAAAATGTACACAACGTTGATGTATTTCTAAACCAAAACATAAATACAAAAAGTATATATTAAGTATATAAATAATGAAAAACGACAGAAGAATAGTGGTTTCACTTAAAATTAAATAAAAACGTGCATCGTGTATTAATAGTAGATACGCATTATTTATCTTGCGCACTAAGCATACGTATACACTCGCACACTATATTGATTGAAATGCCAATCGACGAATTTCAGTGATTTTCTAAAGTGACAATAATTTTCACCTTGTTCTATATCCAACGTGGATTGAATATGTATTCGGACATCCTGGTCACGTAAATTCAACGGTGTGGCCATAACGACAAAATTATACTTCAAATTTATGTCAAGGGATCCGCAAAGACCTCGTGTTTTCGATTAATTACATTGCAATATAATATTAAACATATTAATATTTTGTTTGTTGTATCGATATTTCATATATATGGATAGAAATTACAATTTACAAAGTAAGTAATTTTTAAGCAACTATTCGATCTCGTTAGCTTTCACCGCAGAAATTCTACGCATATACTTAACACTTAATACATGAATCGGCGTTAACATAGTATAGCGGATTCGTCGAAGGTTTATTCAAAACAATCCTGACGTTCAGAGGGACTCGTGAAGTTATAACTGACTCGCAAATTATAGTATCACGGACGCACGTTGTTAAATTAAAGAGTAGAATACAGTTTATGATTAACGTTATTTTTATAAAATTTCACACTTAGCTTTTCTTTTTTATTGTAGAACATCTAAACCTTATATTAACCCAAATGTTGAAACGTGTAAAATAAATATTGATATTTTAACAGCTAGGTACAAATATAAACGTGAGCAGTATTTTATAGTTTATACATAGAGTGTTAGAATATTGAATGCATATCGATTATCTATGTACGTATAATATTATGAATAGAAATTGTGTTAAAAATAAAATTAAGAATTTCCGATATCAATTTTTACTTATTTAAAAGGTTGAAAAACTTTTAATAAAAGCATATTACGTATTACGCGAAAAAAATCATTTAGTTTATTATTTTGTATTCTTTATATACACTCTCATTGTATTTGCTTACGTTTTATTATGTGGTTTTCAGCGCCTAAAATTGTTTGAATTTCGTACCATATTAATACAACTAAAATCAAATAGTATTTTAAATATAATTACTACCTGGTATCGTTCAAATAAAATAATATTTGTATACATTTTATTTTTTAATACTCTAATGAATTTTCATACTGACCTATGGTCGTACCTTCTTATAATATATATTGTACACACGTTTTAGACTCTACAAGTAGTTGTTATGTTACATAGTTTTTGTCTCAGAAATTATTTTAACAGTCACGATATGTTAAAATTGAACTGTACGGCAATGTTTTCATAAGAAGCTCAATCGCTGATTAGAGGCAATGACGACAGACAGGAATTAACTATATTAATTGTTACCAAATAATTACAACGATGATTATACGTATTCACTAAAAAAATATAATAATAGGTAGTCATTCGTAGATGCAAATGGCTAAATGCAATATATTTACTTTACCGTTTCACAGAGAATAGGATTTGCTTCTTAGAACGGAACGAAGTAAATTAGTATTAGATAATTTATGCAGTCACGTATTAAGCATTCGAATAGTTAGGTAATGAAAATAATTAAGTAGGCATGATAAGAAACCGTAATTTTAATTTAAAACAAATTTGATGTAACTTATTATTATATTTTATATTATTTAGATGAATCTAAAGATTAATTTATACGTAGGTACAATAGTGATTTAAAATTTAAATTAGATTAAGTGTATTTTTAATAAGACAAATGTACCATGTTGATGTCTAAATAAACATTTATATACTTAATTTAAAAACTTTTGTTTAGATATATTTAAAAAATCTTTTTTTATTTAATTGTTATCAAATTTTAATTTTAAATTATTTTGTTCACATATTTATTGATTTTAAATATAATATTTATAGCAAAATCTTCTACTTATCTAATTTAGGATTTTAATAATAGTTATAATATAATTTATACATATCATTATCTTGTGTATTAAATATTTTCATTCAAATTATTCAATGTGAAAAAATAAATTATTAAAACTAATTATAAGTCAAATAAATAAAAAGTAATAAACTGACAGATATATATCCAACATTAAGTATATTATATATATTATTTATACAAAAATTAATTCCACATTATTTACAAAAATGATAAGTGTTTTGTTAATGATTTTCCATTATCATCACATTTTTATTAAAACTCTTAAACCTTATTTTTTATTAAATATAGGTATCAGAAATAAAATTGCCAAATTTAACAGTGTGGATTGTACCTATTTCTTGACAAGCTGGTAACAAATGATCGGATTTGACATACGAAACGATAATATCTAAAAATTATCGGAAATTTTAACTCATATATTAAACATATAAAAATAAATTCTAAAAAAGGAAGATCGAATCCGTGATCATCTTTTCCTGATATATAATATGCATGATGACACGGTAATTATACCATAGGATAATTAAGTATACTATATTGTCTATTTACATAATATTGCATAGTTATGTATATATACATTCGTGTATTTCTAATCGTCATAACGTCTATTAAGTATTATGTATAATGTTACATATAAGTATAATATGAATACACCTCCAAATTTTGATATAATATAAAAACTGAAATAATTGACCGAAAATAATAAGCAACCGCAAAAATTATATAGTTATTTCTTAGCTTATTTATTTTGTGTAAATTAGATTCTAAATAACCAATTCATTTATATAACAAAAATAAAGTGATCTCTAATCAAGAAGATGTGTAGTAGGATAATTTTTTATTTTTTAATCCGTATTTCCTATGTACGACACAGTACGGTGATTTTCTTATATTTCGTAACAAATCTATATAGCATATAGGTAGATAGTAGATACTATATAAGTATAGTACGATAATATTATTATTTTAAGGCTTACCTAATCGTTAATAGTATTAAAAATGTATATTTTTAAATAGATACCTTCCTAAATATTCAATTTTAAAAATAACTTGTTTTTATTATGATCAATGTTGCAATATAAAATATCTACAAAATAAAATATTTTATTATTTTTTTTTTTTTTTTAAATAGGTATTTTTTTTCATTTTAACTCTAGTACTATGTAATATTACTTGAATAATAATAAATAAAATATAAATAAGTAATTGTATTTTTTTTTTTAAATTCGTTTGTTTAAAAAAATTAATTTAAGTTTATGAAGATAATTGACTTTTTATCAACTCATATAACTTTTTGACTATTTTCTTTCCATTAATTCTTATGAGATTATCGTTATACTTTTCTGTTTTAAGGTTGCAAAGGATACGTGTAAGTCAATGAATAGAAGGCTAAAATTATTTCTACTCAACTTTAAATTCTAAACTTCTAGAACCGGAACATTTGTGATCGATCCAATAAATTAAAAGATAATTTTTTTAGCAATAATTTTCTTCACCAGTTATTTTATTAGTTTTTAACTACTATTGAGTCTTATCATAATTCATAGCATAACGTCTGAAATTTTAAAACAGGAAAGTAATTATTGGTATTAGTTTAGGAACTTCTATGAAAAAAAGTATAAAATAATATAGACAATTTGAAATAAATATATATTATTTTGGTACAATTTATTCAGTTCAGAAATATCATAAAAACTGTTACAACCATAAAAAACTTTCAACGATTAATTTATTATTAATCGACGCCTTGTTCCTACAATCACCGAGAAAACCTGAAGAAAGTTTAGATGATTGATTACTTGGCGAGTGACTTAATTAGAAAATATATAATAAATCATAATATTATGTTTGATATTTTCGTTTCTTAATCTAAATATTCTTATATGGAAGAGAATAAAACAACTAACAAACTATATATATATATATATATATATATTGGTCTTTGCTATTACCTTATTAAATTTAACAATATTTAATGTAATAATGCCTGTTCGATGACACACAGAAGCAAATTAGCAAAAGGCACGAGTTTTCGAGGATACAATTCGGGCGAAAGTGTTAATCCACTTGAATTCTACATGCAGTAAAATTATTAACAAATAAGTTTTCACTTTTATTACTATGTATTTCATTTAACCCGTTCTATAAACATATACAATTACAATAAAAATATTATATTATTATATTATAATATATAAAAATATAATTTTGTATACATAAAACCCATACACTGCATGAATTGTTGACGTTTATTATACTGTTATATATTTTTATTTAATAGCGTATAGATAGAATAGATCAGTTCTATCTTTTCTATTAGATAGAAGAATAAAATATCAATAAAGTTGTAGACTTACTTGAGAAAGAATGTTGAAGTACAACTTCGGGCGTATCACCGACAGTTCTGTGGTTTGAACGTATGATATATATATTATATTAATCCAATTAAAGGGTAGACGAAAAGTATAAACGGCGCACTGCCACGAAGTTCAATCGAGCTGAGCGCAAGACAAAATGAAAAGATTAAAAATCTAAAACATCAAAAAAAGGAGAAAAACCGTAAACCGTGGTCTTCGTCGCGTGGACTGTAAGTACAACGGTACAAAATACGCGGAATGCGATGGGAATGATCGACACTATAACGATAATGACGGTTATAGTTATAGTAAAAAATAATAATCAAGTGCAGTAGCGTGCGCGTGCGTTGCCGGCGACAAGTCGAATGAACGAAATCGAATGTGGGTTTATTGGTCGGTTTCCGATGTGTATACGGCGGTGGCGGCAGCAAAAGAAAGTAGGCTACTCGTGGCACTGTATATTGCTGGTACTTGGAGTGTGCCTAACAACAAAACGACACGGAGGACTCGTGTACCCTTTCCATTCTTCTTTGAGATCCACAATGTATATATATATATATATATATATATATGTAAATAATATATATGTATGAATGTATGTATGTATATATGTATATATGTATGTATGTATGTTGAAATACGCCTGATTCGTCCTGAGAATATATAGTCTAAAGACGCGTGGTAAGTCTTTAAAAAAATTATTTTTCAGAACCTTGCAAGTCCATCATTGTTTTGTCGAAGAAAATAAACGGATCTCTTGCTATTTCGTAACTGTAATTTACGTAATTTTCATAAGAGCTTTATATAGTTTGCGTCATATCACAAAATTCTTTAAAAACTTTAGAACTTTCTAAAAAAATTTAGTTTGCAGAGATAAGTTGACGAAAATTTAATTATAGGACAATATGGGTTTTACTGATTGCTGAAAAAATCATCGTTTGATGAGAAACTGAACAAATAAGAAAGGATCCGTTTGAAAAAACTCAAAATATTGTAAAAACCATTGATTTCATAGTTTGCTCGGCAGTTCTATAGATATAGGAGTACTGCCATAAAGAAATTTTTCTTTACGGAAACGAGATTGAACAAATATAATTGTCCGTCAGAAACTAAGCACTGATACATAATATTATTCCAGGTGTTTAATATACGTATAATAAACATAGTTATGTGTATATAGTGTAAATATATATCAATTCAACAATAACGACACGTGCCTCGTAGTCTTTATAATGAGTGAAGGGAAGAATTACATGTTGGCATAGGTACGGGTTATCACTATAATACCTATGTCTAACCGGTTCGTCTATTCGTTGTATTCCATTTATTTTATTGAAAATTGCAGCAGTCTGTATTTATATAGGCTATACACACAAATTAAATTTCGGCTCACCACAAAATCGTCAAATATACGTCAGCTAAATTATATTATTGATGTATAAGTTTCAATTATTTGAAAAAGTTGCACCCAAACTCCCATGTTTATCGAATAATAAATTGTAATCGATGTATATTATGGACTCGTTCAAAATTGTTCGAATAAAATAACATTCTAATAATTTTAAAATAACTTTCTAATATTAACTCATGATCAAAATCTAAGGATAATATTATAAAGTACATCTGCGAACCATATTAAAAATGAAATAAAAAACTATCGTATCAAACATATTTGCTATTTCATATATTAATCTTTTATTTTTTAATGTTTTAAATAACTAATTCAAGGAATCGATACATAATATATACTCGTAGCTTAACATCATGAATCAAATCAAATCTGTCAAATAAAGTATGAAAATTTTTTTTATAATTTATGTTATAATAAATATAAATTCAATCATTCATCAATCATTGACGTCTCATATAATAAACATAATATTTTGTATTGAGTTGCGAAAAAGAAATTTTATTATTTATTCAAATTTAATACTTTGCAGCTTGTACGTATAATTACAAAACCACATAATTCCCATTACATGTACTTATTCTTAAACTAATGAATTCACAATTGGGTAAATTCAACCAATCCCAATTTTTTTGCTTATTGATAGAATTAATATCTAATAAACATATAAATTTACGTATATTATTGCTAAATTACAGCGTCCTATCTCACTTTCTGATTCTAAAATTCTCTACCTTGTACAATGTACTTATACCAGTTAGGTGAGGTTTTTTAAATATTTTAGCGTATTTCATATGTGTAAATTATACTTGAAAAGATTTTTATGGTCAATTGAGATGAATCTAGTCCAAAATTGCATAACACCTGTTTGATCATTTCGTTAGTCGTTGCAAACATTTGTACAAATGTGTATCGTTGTCCCCGCGTGATATCTGGACCGAAGAACGAGGACGGTATAAGCGTCTCGGTCGCGAGTTCAATAACCATCCACTATTTCAACGTTCATATTATTGAATAGTTGGATAAATTGACATAGTGATTGCAACTTGCAAAACGTGACGTAAGATATGACGACGTCTTAATCATACATTTCTAGATCTGTACAAAATTAAATTAAAACCGCTTTATTTTACTTCACATAATATATACAACTACATAAATTAAAATACAGCATATGTACCAGTTATATTACATATTAATCACCAGCTATGATCGCTAATACTTATGTACACTAATACAATAAGTCAGTAATACACTATCAATTCATAAAACTGTGTTTGAATATTGAATGTAATACAATAGTTAAATAATATTATGAGTAAATGGGTAATAAAGTTTATTGATTTGTGAATTATATTATTCATATTCATTTATATTATTGTATATATTATATATGTCTAGTTATAGCATGCACAAACATTATTTCTAACTACAATAAAACAAATTATGAATATATAAAACTTCAATATAAAGTAAATATTATTCGTATTTTTACTGTTTGTGTGAAACCTTAACCACTCATATAATGTGATATTTTGATAACTCCATGTTTCTGTATTATTTACAAAAATCAATTCCATCTTACAACTTTTTCTACTTGAATTCCCGAAGTGTTGTTAGATAACATTAGATATCAAGTATTCAAATTACCTATACGATACACACGCACAATGCACATATATAGATATCAAAGAAAATTTAACCAATTTACAATGAAGTGAGTATTATTTAAGTAATAATATATTTATTGAAATACCTAGAAATAACAAAAATCCCAAGCATTCCAGCAATAACAACTTAAAGAGAGTGATATTTAGTTATTAATAATATTCTTTAAATAGATAATTCATTATATTATTTATTGATTTTAATAGCATAAACGAATAGATAAGTAATGCTAATGTTCCTTATCAACTATAATAATTATTGTCGACGTTTTTTCATCAATTAGAGATTAATAAATCTGTCACAATTTGCCATTCAATAAATATGAAAAAGATGTAAAAAACAAAAAAAAATAATTAACCACAAGTTAATATCCTACCGAATTTCCAATAAATGGCATGTATTTTCTATGATAATTATTATAAATTTAGCAATATAATTTTTAGTATTATATAATATATTAAAGTATATCATAAAAAGATAAACCACTTTACACAATTTCAAGGTTTATTAAAGGAACGGTCTAAACACTCTAAACAATATAACATAGGATGCGTTCTGATCGACTCTCTAAAACACAACTAAAATTTTAATCGGTCTATAATCATATCCACATTTGAAATAATATAAATAAATAATATAATCACCGTAAAAAACAACAAATATTACATAAATATGGAAATGACGTTATTAATATATTAGGTAAAAACTTTTCAATCGTCTCCAAAATATTTTACTACATACGTATTTTAGTATTTATACTTGGAAATTATGTTTACCCTATAATATTTATGATGGAAGTCACTGATCAATATAATATGTAAAATAATCGCTTATCTAATAGTAATTAACTGTTATCCCTACATATTTAAAAACAAACAAACTACGCGAAGTAACTATTACATAAATATATATACTACGTATACTATATACGTATGTTATCCTGAACTAGTTCTATATAGTGATTTTTGTGCAGTCAAACTAAAATTTTTCCCATTGCACCACGAAGACAGACGTAACAACAATTATTCGTCATTTACTCTAAATAGTGTGTTATCCAATCATCCGTAGGAGAAACCAATTAAATGTTTTTCTAGGATTTGATTGAATACACTTACAGTGTTTTTACGATTTTTAAACTGTTTACAAACACTGCGCCTGGATTTTAATTATTACCACACTATGTGATGAATTAACTTAAATATATGCACCTGAAACGATAATAGAAAATACTCTTACTATAAGCAGCTCATAGTCAATGAATAAGTACTTATTTAAATCACTGTTTTTTTTTCGTTAACGAAGATGTTCTGCGATTGAAAAAAAAATTCATTAGAATGTGTTAGATACTCCTATACCAAGAACCAACCAATTACAGATGGAAATAAGCTGATGAAATGATTTATAAATTATATTAGATCATTTAGATCATTTGGACATGTAAATATTACATATGTTTGACACATAATAATTGGTTTAGTATTATGTATAATTAGGATATAAATACCTATCGGCTATCTTAGAGAGTTTGTTGACTGAAACAACTTTAAATGGATACAGTTTCTTCTATTTGAGTCCAACTGAATAGTTACAAATTCATATTTATTTAGTAACTAATTAACCTAAAATAATATCGTTTTAAACAAAAGTACAGACAACATCATCTGTCAACGTTTATATAATATTAATTTTTATTATAAAAAAAAAGTGTTTATAAATATTATTATATTGATACAATTTATTACTTTAATTTCCCCGTATTGTAAGTAAATATAATATATATGAATTAAAACATATTATAATTATTCACCACGCTGTTAAGTTTAATAGGTATTTGCATATTAAAGTTCATAATAGATATCACCAATAAACTGATAAAAAGTCTTGAAAATTCGCTGTAAAATATGTTTTCTATGACAAAGTGGTGACTATGGTCATTAATCATTATTCATTATAGTCTTGTTTATTATATTAATGAAATTAAGAATAAATGTTTTTAAACTAAATTATGGATTCTATGTTGGTACGCTTACACATAATTCAATGTTTATCTTAAAATAAGAAAAAGTAACACTAAAATATACAATTCTGATTAATTAATTTGATTTGATTGTTCTCTATATAATGATTGAATACAAATAGCAATATTATTTCATTACTAAATTAATTGGTAAATTTAATCACGTATGCTTTTCAAATCAGTGTCATCAAACCATAGAATATAATATATTTCAAAGCACAATAATAAATATAAATTATAACATATTAAATGAGATCCGATGGGAATACCAAAAAGAAAAATAGAGATA